CTATATATATAGATATATAAAAATATGTTTTTTTCTCTCTCTCTCTCTCTCTCTTTCTCTCTCTCTCTCTCTCTCACTCTCTCTCTCTCTCTCCAGTTCTCTTCCGTCCTCTCTCCGAACGTGTAGCCGATGCGATGTGGTTGTCACTCTGTCGGGTGCCGCGGCCGTGACATGGCACGTGCGACGGCGCTGCGTCCGGCCCCTCCCGGAGCGTCGGGGCCGCCGCCCGAGTGCACGGTGCACGACCTCGCCGCGCCACTTCCTCCCCTCCTCCTCCTCCTCCTCCTCCTCCTCCTCCTCCTCCTCCTCCTCCTCCTCTCCTCCTCCTCCTCCTCCTCCTCCTCCTCCTCCTCCTCTCCTCCTCCCCCCCCCCCCTCCTCCCCCTCCTCCTCCTCCTTAGGCGATGCTTAAGAAAACTTAAATGTTCGGCCAGAGCCTCGATGATTCTTAATGTTTCAGTGCAAATCCTAAGATTTGAGTTGAAATTTGTAGGGGTTTTTATGTATTCCAGTTCTGGGACTATGAATTTCTGAACCCATGATTCCTTGAGCACTTCGCAGGGTGTACGGAGCAGCCCGCAGCGCGCAGCACCGGGCCCTCGTCAGAAGATGTTCTGCGTCGGGAGGCCGCGTTCGGGCCCCGAGGCCGCCAGCAAACCACGCAGTGGCTAATAGCTGCCCCCCTGGAGAATCAGGAGCGACAGAAGGACGTACACCTTAGGCGATGCTTAAGAAAACCTAAGTTTTCGGCCAGAGTCTCGATTATTCTTCATTTTTCAATGTAAATCCCAAGATTTTGATAGAAGTTCTGGGTTACATTCAATTTCTGAGACTATGAATTTCTTAACCCATGATTTCTTAAGCATTTCGCAGGGTGTACATGAATCCACGCTGGTTTCGAGAGTTCGCACTGCGCGAATGTTTGTTTCGTGCGGCAGGTCTCGCGGGCCAAGGGGCCGTGTTCATGTACATAGCTGGGCGCGTACGTCCTCTGTGGGCCCCCTGGAGAAAGGGGTCGAGGGTTGCTTGGCGGCCGTGTGAAGCAACCGTAGCAATAACAAGGCGAACAACAACAACAACAACAACAACAACAACAACAACAACAACAACAACAGCAACAGCAACAGCAACAACAACCACAGCAACAACAACAGCA